ATATATATATTAGTAACTTATAATATTATAAAGTATAAGGGTTGAATTTTAACTTTTAAAATTCTAAGGGTTGGAACTAAAGTTTTAATCAAGACTTTACATGTTCCAAAACTTGAGGGCAAGTTTTGTAAACTTCCAAAACTTTTCATTTCTTATAACTTATGAATTAATTGAGTAATAAAAATGAAGACTCTTCATTTTTATAACTCTTGTGTTCTTTTAATGACTTTAATAAAAGTGAGACTTTTGGTTTTCCATAACTTGAGGACAAGTTATGGACTCCATTAAAACACATTATGATCAGGAATTAAACTACCATGAAGGTTACAAACAATTCCTATGATCATCTAATCTTCATAAGTTCAAGAATATGAATATGAACACTTTCAAGAATCAAAAAATTACACTTAAAAAAACTTGTAATTTTAATAATTGCCATTGTAAATGGATTAGCATAAACATTACACCATCTAAAATAAGCTTTAAACATCAAAACAGTTTAGGGTAATGTTTCTAGTCCATTTCCAGCAACAAATGTGCAAACTTTCATACGAGCAGAAAACAGAAAAAACGATTTTTTTTCAAGCTGTTTGCACAAAAAAAAAACAACAAACAAACCTAGGCTCTGATACCACTGATGGGTTTTGAGCATTCTAATACTTCCTAAGTGTACATGCAACCCTAATAACCTTGGATCTATGTTTGTCTAATAATCATGCAAAGTTGAATTCCAAGGTTATATTCCTATCTAGCATACATGGGGAACATTTTTAACTTGAATGAAAGATAGAATAACTTACCTTGTTGTTGATTATGATCCTTGAAACCTTGTGAGCCTATCACCCCAAGTGTGATGCCTCAAATGCTTCACACAACACCAAATGCAAAGGAGTAAACTTTGAGAGAATCTTACACTTGCAAAATCGGCTCTAGCCCTCTTGTTTCTTATGTGTAGCCAATTTTGGTGGAGAATGGGTTTCTTATATAGTGTTGACACATCTAGGGTTACACCATGTAAACCCTAATGTGTCATGACTCTTCATTTCCATGACCCATGGGTTTGTAACTCCCATGGAGCATCCATGGAGCATCCTATGGGTGGAACCCAACTTGATAATCCATGGAGCCTCTTAGCCCACTATATAAGATATGGAAGATTTACATAATCTACCCATATATTTAATTAGTTATCTTTTGATCACTTAATTAATTCTAAATTAATTCTTGATCAAACTAATTAAATAATATTATTAATATATGAGAACTTATAATATATTAATAAACCATAAGTGTTATTTCTCTCATTTTAGTTTATCTAATTGCATGGTGCCATGCAACCCAAATGGACCATGCCGGGTCGGGTCAAGTACATACCAGAAATAGTTATGGACTTAGACACCTTATCCAATAGATGAATGGAGTATCGAGTTTTTTGTGCTTCGTTCATGATGACATCTCTAAACCCACCGAACTTCAGTATCCAGATCCGATTCGTGAGACAACGAGCTCCGTCATCTTTGACTTCTAGGTTCTTATCCATTCCTCTTAAGGTTTCACCTGTCACATTCTCTGTTTTCAAAGCTTCTAGCTGACCCTCTCTGATCTGTGTGGACAGGTGTGAATGGATTGTCATTGTTAATGACTTTACTCGACGACCCGAGTATTCCTTTCTACTTAAGGATAAAATTGGAGCTCTACACAGGGTCTGTGTTAGCTTTTGGAACGCGGTTTCTTGCTTCTCTCCTTAAGTGAATTTTGGTCCCCGCTTGTCGCTCCAGTGGGTCTTCACCATTGCGTCTGCTGTTTAGATCGGTAGGGAGTGTATGAGTTCGGTTTACTTGACTAGATTCTTTCGAATGGTAGAACGTTCACTCGTAGTCCTGGGTAGCTTTGTCCCGGAGTTCATGGTAGGACTCATTCCTGGTCCATCTATCCTCACCTCGTGCATATAAGTCATATATAATTAAGATTGGTAAGACAGTCGGATGGGTGACTCTGCCCAAAGTCCACAACCAGACAAGGAACAGGAAATAGGGCGGAAACACACATCCTACGTCCGTAGAATCTTAATTATAATATTATATACCGCCCTCGCGTATACACTGAGTAGTGATAGGTTAACCGTATTCGTCCCTAGCCTCTGTGCTTGAACTTGACCTGCTGTACGAGTGATATTCCCAAGGGGTCTGCTAGAAAACTTCGGAAAAGTTTCGGAAGGTATAATACTCCTCCCGTGAGTACTTAGGGGTTTCGTAACGAGAGATGATCCGGAGGTATGTGTCAGATTTGTTGTTATGAGAGACGAGGGTTTTGATATTCAGTTGGTTATTGCGAAGGGTCTTTTCGTAGCACATGCAATTGGTAAGGTGAGGACCAAACCAATCCATATCGAATGATGACATCGAATCTTCTTAGTGAAACATTTGTTAAGTGTATATGAAAGAAACATTCGTTAGGGCGATAGTGCATCCTGCGTGTACGTGATAGTGCATTCTGTGTTTCTCGTTAGTGCGTTCTGTTTTGGTCGGTGTTATTATTACTACAAATGATTCGTACCGTAGCAAGCTAGTACTAGCAGTAAGAGTGTTCTGATAGTTAGTGATGATACTTCATATTATGATCCCTATCAGGTCCCTCTATGATCGCTTGGTGTATACCAGTCATGTGTAATTAAGATTGATAAAACCATCGACTGAGTGACTCTTCCCTAAATCCACAACCAGACAAGGAACATTAATTAAGGCGAAAGCACTCACTCTAAGCCTGTAATATCTTAATTATAAGTAACCCTGATGTATACACTAAGTCATCACAGCTCACCTGTAAGGATCCTAGGTTCATATATAAGTTTTGTGATTTGATTGAACGAGAGAGTATTTTAATACTTTTTAAAGGACATAAATTTTAGCAAACATACCACATAACATACAAACATACGGTACTTAAATATTATTGTATTTGAAACATTCCTAAGAGTCCTAGTGAGGTTCCTTGTTGCTTTTGCTGGTTCGGTTGTCACACTCCTCCTGCCCCTCCGTCATTCCTCTCGGTTGGGCAGTCCCTCTTGAAGTTTCCCGTTTCACCGCATAGATGGCATATAAGGCTCACACTGGTATTGGCGTACGAGATGATGTGTCGGGCCGGTGTCCTACAGAAACGGGTAGTGTGTCCTTTCCTGTGGTAGTTCTTACAATGCATCTTTCGACATGCTCCGGTGCACTACAAGAAAAATACCCTTTAATGATGCGCAAACAATGACACTCGCTGATCTACGATACGCATTTTTGTGCGTCCTTAAAAATAATGTCAGCCTTCCAAAATTTGAAGGATAGAGGACACGCATTTTTGCGTGCCCTTAAATTAGTGTCTCAAGAAAAAAAATTAAAAACACGGAGGGCGCTTTATCTTAAACGTGCGTCCTCTGTAGGTGTCGCTTTATAATTTTAGTGAAACGCGCCTTGAGAAGATAACGGGGGAAAACGAAACCCTAAAATTTTGAAAACCCGCCTTTCTTTTCTACCTTCTTTTTTGCATCTTCACAATCGACTCTCCCCTCTTGTTTCTTTATTGTGAGAAGTGACGGAAAGAAGGGAGACTGGGATGGATCTGCCGGGTGATGATGAACGGAGGTGCTTTCCGGTCAATTTCGGAGATGGCGTTGTCGATTTCGATGGTTGTTTCCCTCTTGCACTAATTATCTTATCGATGCTCCTTCCTTCCCTGTCCCGACTGTCGCCTTACCCTAGTTATCGACGCTCCTTCCTTCCTTCCTCACTTGCCTTCTTCTCTCTCTCTTCACCGTTTCCATCTCCTTCCATCTCGGGTCATGTCTTCACAAATTCGACAAAAAGAACTAGGGCTTTGAACCATATATCAATAAACGTAATTAACCTTTTCTTTTCTGTACTTCAACGGTTCTTTGCCTGACAATATCTCCAGAAGTCGATCACGAAGCTCACTCGTGTCAACTGGACGTCGAAACTTCCGTCGAAAGATAATCACGTCGTTGTCGCGAATCACACACCGCCAGGCAGTGGAAGAAGATGATGAAGTTTGTCGTTGTCGTATGCCGCCCTCCCTCGCTGTCTCTAACAATCTCTGCCCTTTCTTTATTCTTCGCTTCTATGATCGTATAATCTTCCTTCATCTTCTCGGTTTTCCATCAGGTAATTATCGGGTTCGCTGTTCTTTATTTTCTTGATCTAAACTTAAGTTCTTCATATCCTATTGAATGATGTTATTTTTGAATTTATCAATCTATCGTTACACTCACACACAAGTAATTTTGATTGTATTTTAATCGAATCTAGGAAAACAAGTTCATCTTCCCCGTTTTGAATTCTACAGGTTGATTTATGCATTTGAGAAAGCTCAGAAGTTGGATCCCACTTCAAAACTGTCCATCTTCAACGGCTTGAAAGGTTAAGCACTCTCACTCTCTAATGGTGTTCTGGGTTTGCCCTCTCTTTTATGTTTTTATCAGGGACATGATCCAAACTTTGTTTCCCTCTATTTTTTTATGTTTTTGTTTCCCTTTATATTTAATTTATACTTTCTCTTCATTAACTCAAACTTTGTTAGGGTTTGAATCTAATTTGGGGATTCTGTTGATTTTGGGTGGTTAAACTCAAAGAGAATTTGGAATATAGCGATGCATAAACATAAAATCGTATGATATTCTTTCTTTATAGATTTATTAAGTTATTTTTCCAATTTCAATTGACTTCTAGATAATTGTTTTTGGATTGGACCTTTTTTGCCCTTTCCTGGTCAACCATGTAGTGATACATACCATATTCTCTCCATTAAAGATTGGTCCGGTTCAATTGTACTTTCCCTCTTTCTCTCACAGGTAACGTGATTGATCTATTTTTTTTATTGATTTTGTTTCTGTTCTTCATCATTTTCTTCCATTTTGAAATTAGGGCTTTTGATAGCTAACGTGATTGATCTTTTTGTATTATTGATTTTGTGTAACAATTATTAGCAGCAGGGCTGCTTTATATGCCATCATAGAAGAATTGTGGTGATTCGTGAATCTCACATTCAGTGGGAGGAATTGTGGTTTTTGGAGGTGGAGGAGGTGGTTGAGGTTTGGATACCACATCTATCTTGGGAGAAGGAGAAGTTTCTGCTATCACCACATTATCATCTTCTCCAGCTTCATCTACGAACCTTGAACCTTTTAAGTCGTCTATCAGGTCAAACACTTTTTGGAACGATTGTGGAACCTATTTGCTTAGCTCATCATTGTACAGAGTCTTTGGAAGGACATCCACAAAATTTTGAACTTTCTGGATGGCAAAGAGGATTTCATCAAATCTTATGTTGCAGGGTCTTAGCAGTTGTTGTGCATACTGTATTACTTTAACCAAAACAGCCTGAAGAATTATATTTTTGCTGCTCACTTAAACGGACAATCTCATTCCCATGTTGGCGGCCCATGGTGTTGGTGAGATCATCAAAGGACTGTTGAATTTCCTTCACCATTTTCAACATCACATCCATCCGATCCAAATACTTAAATGTGTCATCGGTCCTCTTCTGCTCCATGTTCTTCAGAGCATCTACAGTAGATTTGACAATTGATTCCTGAAGTGTCTTTTCCCTTGTCTCAAGATTAGGAAATCTTTGGGCTAAGGATGTCACAACCTTCTGCATTTCTCCAAACTCTTCCTTGGTCACAAATTTATCCATAGATGGAGGAATCTTGTTTACAACCTATAGAACCTGAGACAACTACTGGTTGAGGGAATTAAACTCCACCCTGGAGATATATTTGGATTTCTTCTTCTTCCATTTAGTGTGTCTGGAGATATATTTGGATATAGAAGGGGTTTCAGATCTGGGATATTAAGCAAGTCTCAACTTCTGGATGTACCCACAGTGGTGGTTGGAAGAGTGTTGGTGTCTCGTTTGGGAACTTCCTGACTTTCAGTTTCTGAAGTTGCCAAGAAAATAGTAAATTTGGAGGGTTTGAGTGTTTCCATAATGGAGTGTGAATCAGAGTCTTGGATGAGTCCATCATCAGCAGTAAACACAAAGTCCTTTTCCATGTCTTGAGCAGCCTGCTTAAGAAGTTTGGCAGAAGTCCGGGCCCACTCTTCCTCTTCCCTCTTTAGCTGCTCCTCCCGTAAAATTCTTACTAATTACTTTCTCTCCTCTTCTTTCTTAGCCTCGGCCTCTCTTAGAGCTTCAGTTTTCTCTCTTTCCTCTTGCTCTCTCTACATCTTAGCGTTTAGCTCATCCTCTTTCCTCTTATGCTGCATTAAAAGCTCTTTTCTTTTCTTTCTATATTCTGCATGTTTTGCAGCTTTCACTTTCTTCGATTCTTCCTTTTCCATCTCATCTCGTATTCTCTGCTCTCTTAGCATTTGCTCATACAGGTATATATTATAGTAGTATATCTAAGAAAATCTCTCTTGCTCAGCTCTCAATATCTCCTCTCTTTCACTCTGCTCTCTTTTTTGCCTCTCTTGTTCATCTCTTGCTTGCCTTACACACTCACTCTCTGATGCTCTCACCTCTGCCTCACCAATGGAAATTCCAAAGAACCCTGTTTGCAGCAGGGCTGCTTTATATGCCATCATAGAAGAAGACCCTGCTGTCCCACAATTTGTAACAATTTGTATTATCATTATTTGATTTTAATAATAATTTGTTTTTTTTATTGTTGAGGTTATAGACTGATAGTCTTATGTTTTATTAAATCTGGAGGATCAGGTTTGGAGAGGAAATTACCAGAGGGAGAGGGAGAGGGAGAAGGATCCCATTTGAAAAAGCATATGAAACATTGTTCTCATGCGTTCATATATTAATCTTAGTAGGTGTGGTTGGGATGCTGCCACATCTACTAATTTTTTAAGGAAGTATCGACTTATAGGTAATCTTTTCAATTTTTTTTATCTACGATCATACTTTTATTTGAAAGAAAATGTTAAAAACTTAAAATTGATTTTAATGACTTGCAAGAGTTTGAAGATTGTAACGAAAAACATTGTATTATGAAAGGAAATACATGTAGCACCTTTTTTTAAAGTGGGACAAGGACTATTCTTTTGATCTCACGTCTGTGCAAAAGGACGAAAATGCCCTCATGCCTCATCATCTTCATTATGACCAAAATGGCCATGATCGAAACTAACCTAAATGGTAAAAATGCTTTATGTTTCCCTATTATCCCATGGTTTAAGTGGCAATGTATTTACAATTTGTTACTCATAAAAGCAACATACTATGATTTTTTAGAAAATTGATTATTTTTGAGAAATTTTCAGTTGAGATATTCACTTGCATGATTTTTTTAATATACTTGAAGATCATCAACAGGCTGTTTCAGTAGCCAATCTTGGAGGCATTCGAGACACATAGTCCTCCAATCTTGGGCTAAAGAATTCTCTTGAGGTCTGATTTCAAATCTTTTAGGGTTTCATGAAATGTGTTTCATTTGACATTGTTACAGGTATACGAGGCACTTGAACATCGATTAGTTGTTGCAGAAGCTGCTCAGAGGCTGAGACTTCCTTTAATTTCAAAAGATGGTGAGGTTCATGAGGAAGAAATAGAGAAATGGAGTGGATTTTCAAGTAATTACAGAAACATTAGCCCTGAATCTGCAGTTGGTGGTGTTCCTAATCGGTTTCTTGGAATAACACCTGCTTATTTATGGCAAACTCAGGTCCAACATGCACCATTACTTTTAATGTTCATTTTATATTATGATATGTTGTATTCAATTATGATGTAGTGGATGTATAAGGATAAATTAATCAAATTTAGGACATATCACATATGGTTTTACATGGTTCTTCTACTAATTTTCAGTTCACTGTTTTTTTTTTTTAAACTTATTTATCATAGTGGGTAAGTAGAAGAAAATCTGTAAATATATTTTTGAATTTATGCATATTAGAGTATTAGTACAGCAGTCTTAGTTTTTTGCTTCTTAACGTTTCTCTCTCATGACTCTTAATCTTCTGATTTGCCTTTTTCTTTAGACATAAAGAAGACATTCTGAACCCTAACAAAAAGGATTTAACAAAGCTTCCTAGAAATGTGTAAGTTTTTAATTCAACAACATGTTCGTGTCTATATATATCATGATTTTTAGCATTTGATTTGTGATTTACGATTTGCGATTTGCAGACCCTATGTTTCTTCTGCTCTGTTCTTTACATACAATACGGCCCTGGGACCTCCTTATCGAGTTTTGGTCGATACCAACTTCAATCTCAAATCAAAGATTATCTGTCGTGTTGTTTATACTCAGCTTTTGGTAAGTATGTAAACATGTTGTTCTTACAGTGTGTGATTTGGATTATGAAGTTTTATAATCTAGATTTTGTTTCCATTACAGGCTGAACAAGATACATATGAACTTTATGCTCAAATCACTCTAGTTCCAGAAGCAGATGTAAGAGTTCAAATCTTAAATTCTTTACAATTTATAACCTTTTGTCACTGTTTTTTTTTGTAATAATGGATAGCAAAGTGATCCTACTAGTCTTGATAAATGCATTGATGACCCTTCAAAGGCAAGTATCCACTCTTTCTGCAAAGTCTTAACAGCTTCAGACACAAGCATTCATGGTGGTTTTTCAGTGCTCAGAAAACACACAAATGAATGCCTACCTACATTGGTAATTTCACTGTCTTTCTTTTCTTCTAATTTCATATGTTTTCAACAGTTTAATTTTCTAATTTTTTTGAAGTATTTTTGTTCAGGACATGTCTCAGCCTACTCCTACTCAAGAACTTGTAGCTAAAGATCTTCATGGGACTGATCAACCCAATTGGATTCACGCTTCTGAAAAAGGCGGAGTCACTCCATCTGTTTATTCACGAAAGGAACCGGTGGCAAACTAATGATATGGAGGATTTTTTTTGACATGATATTTGAAACAAGGTTCCCGTTAATAGCAATGTAGTATTATGTTATATAGTTAGGGAAAATCTCTTAATAACAATGTACAATTAGATCCCTTTAATACCAACGTATTATAATTTTTTGACATGATGTTATTGGATGAAATTGATTGTTTTGGTATATATTTGTTTACATATTTTTGTATTATGCTTAAATCAATATCGTAAAGGCACGTCGTATATGCATATTGTAAATGGTTGCTGAAGTTTATGACACCCAAATGCATGTCATCTTCATTTTTGACAGGGGATTTAATGATACGCAATGCGTGTCCTAAACGCGCGTCGTAAGATTACGACACGCAAATGCATGTCGTCTTCCTTTATGACAAGGCCTTCCTTGATACGCATTGTGTGTCGTAACTGCGCGTTGTAAATGCGCGTCGTAAATAGACGACGCGCAAAAGCGTGTCGTCTCTCGTTATGACAGGCCCTTCCTTGACACGCATTTGCGCATCGTCTGAGCGTTTTATGACACGCATTACGCGTCGTAAAAAGCTGTTTTTCTAGTAGTGGTGTGATGGAGGTTGCACTTATTACATTGCGGGAGGGTTCCAACATATTGACTGGTACGGACTGGAGTGACAGATGTCGTGGCGGATGTTGAGGTAGGTGTCGTGACTGCTGTTGTAGCTATAGGGGCAGCCACAGGCGTTGACCTTTTAGCGAGTTTTTAAGATAGGTTGCGCTCCTTTTTGTTCCAAAACCTTCGTTTCTTGCTCTTAGGTTTGTGGTCTGAGGTGTCTTAGTCGGTGGACACCCGCTGATGTCCTTGATCGTTACTGCAATTAGTATTGCCGGCACCGCTTCTGCCTCCGCTGGCGTTGTTAGCATTGAGTTGCGCAATGACGGCTGTTACGGCTGCTGTGAATGCAGCTTGAAAAGTAGTGGAGTCTATTTGCAGAATTGGTGCCTTGCTAGTTGCCTGGTTACCTCCTTGTGAAGACATAATCCTGTTTCATGGTGAGGAACGATCTTGTGAGTAGTGATGATCATTGCTAGTTACATTCTTACAATTTATATACACATATATAAATTTCGCACTTTGCTGTGCTATTCTCAATGTTTCCCGCTAAACATTTCCGAGATGGAGTTATGGTAGTGGGTAGAAGTGGGTTTTGTACGAGTGTTAAGTTTGTCCATCCTAGTACTATTCTCGCCCAAGCACGCTTAGCTAGGGAGTTCTGATGGGATCCGGTGCATTTGCGCCGGTATGATTGCACCTTATAGGTCTACGAAGAAGGCATCTTTCAACCATAAGGTTTACAAGATGAGTCGATAATGAGTCTTTAGTAGTGGCTATACGTCGAGAGTTATATAACTAAGTTTATCTTAGTTCTGAGTGTATCATGTTCCGACTTTTATAGTGTTCTGAAAGCAATTCATAACAGAGGTCCATGTAAAATAGACTTATGAATTAGTAATGGTTACCCTCGAATGAATTTCTGTGAATTGAATAATTTGTTACTAGTCGTCACGAAAGACAAGATAAACGTAACACATAGTGTGAGCAGTGTAATCACTAACTCACTAGATTGTATTAGTTAGTTAATTATTAGTGTGACATATAGGGTGCTCTACCACCTTGCGCGCCTCGTGAGTGGTTTCCCATTTTTTCTGTCCTAGTTATGTTGGCCCTGGTTTAGTTGTGGGGTTTTGTTGCCTCTCGACTTTCTTATGGTTTTCCTATTCTCAATAGTTCATGCTTCGGGTTATATCACTGATCTCCACCACTTCCTGATGGAAGATTTGACTCCTCGTATGATTCCTTCTCGGAATCCACTTTATGAATCCTCTCTTATTCCCCATTGACTCCTCTGTCGGTGGTTGTAGTGGAGTGGATATCTCTATCTAGGTTGTTCATGCGAGAATGGGAATGTCTAAAGAATTTTATGAGATTAAATAAAACATTTCTTCTGAAGTTTTGATAATCCAAACTGGGTCCTCCTATATTCAAGAAGTGCATGCAAGCTGTATATAACCAAGATCAAATAGACCTTCGAATAGGTGATCCTACTCTAAAACCACAACCAAACAAGGAACAGGTAGTAGAGCGAAGATCACCAATTCTAATTCTATAAGATCCCAATTATATATAACCCTGGAAGTATGGACTTCGCAACTATAGACCTGCCAGTAAAGGTCTTTTAGCTTTCATATAAGTTTGTTATAGTGCCTAAAATACTCCTATTGTATTTTATCTTTATGTTTTGTTCTAGGGATCTTTTGTATATAGAGTTAGGTAAGTTTTAGACTCGTTGCAACACCACTATCACTCCCAAACACATGTTGGTCGTATCTCAAATAAATATAGTTGATCAGGTTATATTTATTCCAGATTTGATTACATAACTGTCTAGGTTTGACTGCAGTGTCCAATATCTAAATACTTTTGTATTGTTCTTCTTGTGATATTGTTCTAGTATGTATGTATGTATGTATGTATGTATACTTTTCATCAAAATACTATTTTATTTTTAAAAGTATAGTCGTATGAAAATGTTTAGTCAGAGAGTCTTAGTCCCATTGTGTTTATAGTTTGTATATCTTATGTGGTTCGATATACTTAGTTCACTATAAACAATGCTCTGATACCAATCTGTCACACCCCCAAACCGAGATGGCGGAAACGTTCGAGGGCGGAGGACGTCATGTTCAGTATCACAACAATATAATAATAGTAATCAAAGCAACAACAACCATATTATTAATAATATAACGTTTACATTGTATTCGGATTACAGATAATTGACTCCAAAGGTAAATAGCAAAAACATAGAATATAAGCTATTATGTTCCGTCTTCTCGAGGCCTGTGCGTGTATCTGACTAATGGTTTCCTGAGAATACAAGTAGTTTTGAAAAAGTGTCAACAATTAAGTTTGTGAGATCATAAGTATTTATGTTTAGAAGCTTGTTGTTTATTTTCTTGAAATAGTAATCATGTTTGTTGTTCCAGAAAATCCAATATTTTCTAATATAACGGAGAAGTAGTTTTAAATACCATAAAACCGTTCTGTGTAATTACTGTTCTACTATATAATAATGTAATATAGTTTTAGTTTATAATAAAACTTTTAGTATAACCCGGTATTTTGTAGTTGTACCCCTTTAGTATAACCCGGTACATTGTAGTTGTACCCCTTTAATGTAAACCCGATACTTTACATTTGTACCCCGTTTAGTAAAACCTGGTACTTTGTAGTTGTACCCCTTTAGTGTAAACCCGGTACTTTGCATTTGTACCCCGTTTAGTAAAACCCGTTACTTTGTAGTTGTACCCTGTTTTAGTGGAAATGAAACCTTTCGTAGTGAGTTCGTAGTGTAAATGAAAGATAAACTATACCTATTATAGTTTATCATAATTGTATGTAGTGTATATGAAACATAACTATACCTATTATAGTTTATCAAAATGTTCGTAGTGTATTTGAAACATAAACTATACCTATTATAGTTTATCAAAATGTTCGTAGTGTAAATGAAACATAAACTATACCTATTATAGTTTATCAAAATATTCGTAATGTATATGAAACATAAACTGTACCTATTATAGTTTATCAAATGTTTGTAGTGGTAGTAATCCTTTGTATATGATTTATACCTTTTTACTAAGGTAAATGATATGAAATATAAACAACATGTATTTATATAATAGTACACACCTTGCTCAGCAAGTTACAAGGTGTAAATGGAATTGTTAACTAGTTTCTAGTTTTTAACTTTTCTGTTCCTGTTCTTATAAAAATTATAGAAAAATCATTGAAGTTCAAAATCAGAATCCGTAAACTCTGAGAGTTTAGAAAATGTGTCTAGTTTGTTCATAATTTTTATTATGATTTTTAGTGAACTTTAACTTGTGTGAAAATGTTCAATTTCACAGACTGGTCCGAAATTGTTGCTGAAATGATAGGCAGTTTTGTAAAATTCGCCATAAATTGTAGAAAAATCGTATTAACTTGTGCAAGTAGTCATTAGAAAGTTATAAACCTGAATATTTGCACCTGGTACAATTTTGAAAACTAAAAAGTTTAAGATGTTCAAAACAGTCCGTGAATGGAACTAAACTTTCCTGTTGAAAGCTGATGTTTGAGTTTAGTTAAGTTTTTGGTGTTATAACTTGTATTCCCCCCCCCCCCCTAAAACATGAAAATGTAGGGGTATGAACTCACCTTGAGTGATTTTCTAAGATGGATGTGGAAGAAAAGAGGTCTCCAAGTCAAGAACACTTGGAGGATGCTTGATGATTTGAAGATCCTAAAAACAAATATGACGATATTTGTATAAGAAGTCCATGATTTGAATGAAGGAGTGTAGAATGTTCAAGATTGGGAATGAAAAACTTAACAAGAGTGAAGTAAGAGCAAAATGCTTCCTGGAGAATCTCGAGTTCCAGAGAGTGAGAAGAGTGGGAGGGAGAAAAAGTGTATTTTTGGAGGATGTGCTTGGGATTTTATATGTGAGGATTGGAGATCCAATGAGTGGATTTAGGTAAGGAAATCTGATGGGGCGTTGGAAGAAAGATATGGATTTGACTAGGTAAGGTGTGAATAGTGACATAAAGTTCTCATAGAGTAGGTATGAGAGTGGTTGGTGTCATAGCTTCTTGGAAAGGTCAACACTCACAAACAATATGTTGTACAAAAGATATTATTCATAGTTAAAGATTTCCTCAAAATATGATTAAAATATGGATTTATGGGGTTTAATATGTTAAAATATGGGTTTGGGTGAAAATTCCCCATCAAAATCATCAAAAACGAGCTTAAGAAGCGAAAGTGGTCGAAAACCGGAAAGAAAGAAGCGAACCTATGAGGCTAGTAGCCGGATGCGAGGTTCGGTCCATGAGACCCGAAAGTGGGTTCGGTCCGAGAGGCTCGCAGACAAAGTGGTCGAGTAGGAACCGAAGGTGGGGATGAACCTAGGACAGAAGGTTCG